CTCATACATGTCTATTGTTCCTCTTTTCGGGCTATTCATGCTTCTAATGCCTATCCTACATATATCTTACCTTCTACCTCTACATTATATTGACCTTTAATTCCTTTTCATCATCTAATCCCTTTCTTTACCTTTCGTCACTGTCCCTACCTCCTCCCTCTTGGTCTCTTGATCATCCCTCCAGGACCATCACTTTACTGTGGCCCACAGGTGTGTGCCAGAGGGGGAGAATGTAAGGGATGGATTTGAGCCCGGACTTCCGGACCCCCCTATAGGGGCTGTTTGGCTCTGTTTTATCGCAAGGCTACCGACGCGCCTAGCTGGCGCGCCGTCACCTTCCTCGTACCTCATCCCTGACACTACCCTTATTGCACCTTGTTCACTCGTAGATATCCATTGTTCCCCCAATATAACTGGGTTACACTGATGTCTCGCGTGATCTGAGGTCTTAGGGAAGTGCCATATCTTACAACTGATGAGTAGAAAGAGGTCCAATCCTGCCAATTCCGATCTTGTATAACTCTAGATACGTCTCAATCGACGTTACACATACAGTTGACGGCTTCGAACATATCTAGGAGGGTGTGATGGGAGCAAAAGGCCCGTTTCAGTGAACTTGGTGACTGTGTCGAAGCGGGGCGCCAGTTGCCCTGCACATGTTGCATATCATCCTGGTATTTTATTGGGCTCAGGCATACCTCGAAAGAACGTCGTCGTATGGAGAGGAGTTTATTAAATTTACGAATAGAGTATTGCTCAAAACACTGAATCAAAGGGGAAACATGGATACAACCAGCATTAGGCGAACGTGAAGTAAACAACCCAGTCAAAGTCTGTCAAACACCAAAGGAAGAGAGATACAGCAGGTTCATGGACGTCGAGTCGAGGGCCCGTAGAGTCGAGAACCTATTCAGTCGTTCAACCCAACCGAGAAAGAGAGATATGCTAACGCCCAGCGGTATCGTTGGCGGGAACAATTGCACCATCGAGGTTACAGTACGCGTCAAGCAAGAACGGGAACTGCTGGTATCGCTCCCAAGGTTGAGCAGCCTGGTCAAAGCGATGTAAGTGACTTGGATTAGAAACATCCATGGGCGAATCATGCTGAATCTCGGCTTGTGACACGTCGCATCAGGGAAAACCGAAAAGGGTAATGGCTCTTGATTACCTATTTTACCTACCGGCCAGGGTAGACAAGTGTAATGCATGTAGTGCATCATAATTGTAGGTAATTTCAGGTATTATACATGTATTTCTTGCACACTATTTCCTTCTACCATGCCATTTAGTAATATTGGGTAGTTGAAATAACAGAGAGGTAAGCTTATCTTAAGACATCTCGATTATTCACGAAAACATGCACCTTATTCGAAGCTTCCAGTCAATTACACTGCACCATTTTTGGGACAGGCAAGATAAGGAATCCGGGTATCACGAATGCAGCGCGCAGACCTATTTAATGGATACATAATGCTCCTATTCTTATTGGCCCAAAAAGTCTACAATACATGAAATGGTACTGCTCTTTCTCGTCAGTTGTTGGTCGAGCGTGCAACACAAATTCGTCGAAGTCCAACTCCGTGATGTCCGGAGCGGCGACGCGCGTCACAATAGCTCCCGCTCCCACGATTTTGGTGCCACGTCAATGGCCAAACCAACTCAACTTCGCTTTCCTCTACTCTTCCACCAACTCCCACAATCAACTCACCACCCGCACTGTCGGCTTGTGCATTTGCTGCGTGAAGTTGCAGCTTCACTTTCCAGTGAGTCCGTCCACCTTCCAGAACACTAACCACTACCTTCCCCTTGCCTAGTGCTCAGCGCGTCGCCGTCATCCTCACCGCTCGTCTACTTACACTGGCCGCTACCTTCTTCTCATCGTCGCTTCTAGCTTCTCACTAGCTGCTACGTAGGTGCTCGCCCCTGGCTGTAATATGGTTGCATGTTTGGCCGCCAATGTTCCTCATTTGGCCGCCTGGCCATGCACCCTTTCGTCTCCTTGCCTAGCACTGCCAACTCTACTTGTCCCAAGGACCAGCCTATGTCCCCAGCTTTTTGACTGCTCGGCCGTTCCTGAGCGCTGGCCGTCACCTCACTGGCAAATGCTCATCCCCTGCTGGCCATTACTCATTCACTCGCTGTGGGTTTGCCTTCGCTCACCACTACCAGTAACTTATAGCAATCCGCCCTTGCACCACTCTATCCGTTCGCCCCGATGTCATCCACTTTACCTGGCCAAACGACTGGCGTCTTCGTGCGTGATCCAGCTTGTATACCTACGTGTTGGGCTGATATGACTCAGGTACCAGTGGATGTTATGCAATTCCACCATAATGTAGCTTGTCCATGTTACGCATGTAAATTACTACATACGTCTGTTTCAATATACCTTGTTTTTTTGAAACATCTTTGTGTGCAATTTCAAAGTTATGCGACAAATGGCTGGGAAGCGGCTTGAGATATACACGAATATGCCAGAGATAGTCAAATCTTACAACCGAACTATCCTTGGATTACCCGATATTTACCTGAACCTGCCCAGGGACCATGGTAGAATTGGGTAAAACAGGTAAGGTGGGTAAGCAGGGTAATTCGGTGTAAAACAGTGTAATGACATCTAAGTTACGATGATTACCCAAGATTAACCTTTCAGCTTTTCCCTGATGTCGCTAGACTTTACCTTGCTAGCCAGCGAGGAGGAAGGGGAAAAAGCAGGATTGGGTTTCTCAAAACCAGAGTGGTTGACGGTGAATGGACCAGGACCAGCCTGGGATAGTCGTAGAGCACTAAGATCTACACAGCACTCATTGGGAAGACGATAGAACGCCTCTCGGCGTTGAGACATACTGAGATCATTGGGCGGGTTGGCCGTACCCTGATAGGGAGAGCGACCCGGGTCCGAGGAAACCTGGCCAGGGTGAAGATAGAAAGAAGACTCAGACTGCGAGGGGCTGCCAGATGCTATGCCACTCTGATTGTGGTTGCCGACAGCGTTAGAGGGCTGATGAGTCAACGTTGAAACTTGATTTCGAGCGTTGACGCAGACGGCACAAGTGCAGTGCGACTCTGAAGCACCCGCCTGAGAAGTCCTAGCATCTGGCTTGTCGTTGTTGTTGTCAGCTGCCAGTAGTTCAGCCCGAATGGAGGCTTGTCCATTTACCAATCTGGCGCCAGAAAGAACAGGGTCGCCAGAGCTTATCCCATTGAGTAGGTCGTACTGACGCTGACGTTCGCGATACACAAGGTTCTGGGATTGAATAGCCACCACATTCCATGACAAGAAAGGCAGAGCGGCTTCGAGACGTTTCATTTGCTGAGAAACGTCCCTGACCGTAGAGATCAGGCTCGTCATGTCCTCACACAAGGGAAAGTCCTTTGGGTCAAATTGAGGAGGGATGGTGTTGTCCATTATTAACGATAGTTGTTGTTGCAGTTGTGGTGGGCTGAGCGGTAGTGAGAGAGAGAGGTAGTGATAAGGTCCTGTTGCCTGAGCTGGGAAGCATTTATGCCCAATTGATGCTGTAGAGGTCCGGCGAAAACTGCGTAGCGATATCCCCCCGGATACAAATGTAAGATTGGTCGTCTATCCGACGAGATCAATTCGTTGTTAGCATAGTTGCAAGCGTCTCATTTACCTCACGGCACCTTGGAGATAAGAATAGAGATTCATTGCTTCTGCAGCCCACTATGTACACTTGAGCCCATAACGACGATTGCCGCCCACAGGCCTGGCGATGGGCGCTTATATTCGATGACGCTTCCATTCTGGTGGCGTTCTGGCTATAATATCAATCCATAGAGGGTGGCCGTGGACACCATAGCCAAGTGGTTACGGCGACAGATTAGAATGGGGTTGACAATATTCGAGGATTGATCTGTTCCTCTTTGAGGGCGCAGGTTCGAATCCTGCTGGTGTCGTCTATCGGTATTTTTCGCTTTTGCTCCGCGATCCAAGGCGCAGTTCCCAGGCAGAAAGAAGCACATGAGTACAACGCCGGGAAAGGATAGCGATTGTATTGAAGCACATTGCCATTATCAATCTCAATAAGTCAATCAGATTCATAACTGCCTCTCCTATTTTTCGTATCTCTGGCCTTCTTTCTCACTCTATCTTTATGCGCTTGAGTTCGCTCGACAACCAGATCTCTGTGTCCAATCACAACGTCCCACTCACTTCGCGTATTCCACCTCCATTTCCCTAGCTCTTCAACAACGGCCACACTTCGATGCCTTCCCAGCTGACAAAACACACCCACCGAAACCTCTGCGGTGTCCTCTTCCGCTTCCTCATGTTCCTCGTCGCTCTCCTGCCCGCTTTCATTCTCCTCGTCGTCGTCATCCATTCCTGCCTTCATCTCAACATCTTGCTTTGGTGGCATCTCCGCCGTCGCCTTTGGCGGCTTCCTAAACGCGTCCCCTTCCTCCACCTCCGACATTCTTCCCTGTATCGCCTGTGTGATACTCTCAAAGCGCGTTTTCACCTCCCCGATCGAGAACAGCCACTCCTGAAGAGGTTTGTACATCCCCGATTGTGAGTTTCGGACATGCTTGGGTGGATTGGGCAGGTTGCGTAGGTCGGATGTAATGGCTGGTTTGGGCACGAGAGGTCCATTCTTGTATCCATATGATGTGATTCGGAGAATGCGAGTAGGTGGCGGAGGAGTAAGAAGTGGGTTGGGCGAGGGAGAGCGTCTTGAAGATGCACGCTTCATCTGGACATGAGAGGAGTGATGAGGTGTGGATGAGAACGATGTGGAGGTTGCAGATCAAGGTTTGGGTGGCCCCTATCTATTCGTCGCGCGATCTCAATCGTCTGACGTCAGCTAACTGGGAGGCGCAGGCTCAACCTTGGTGTTGAGTGCCCCCTGCCATGTTCACTTTGGCATAATATATACACGCTAGAGGATCGAGTACTTTCTGCCGGTACCTTCAGGATTCAATCGTCCTGAGCCACGGGCTGCTTGGTCGCGGAGAAGAGGATAGAAACACTCTCGCCTTAGGACACGATGGCCAATTGGTCAAGGCTATAGAAGTATGGAGTCCATGGCGCAGGTTCGAAACCTGATCCCGTCTATCAGAAACATTGCCTTCATATATATATTTTTCGCATAGTCGAAAGGGACGTGCAAGTATCAGAGTATGTGGGATGTATTCGGAAACACAATTGCTATACCCAAATAGGGAACGCAACGCTGGGAGGGTAAACAGCACGGGAAACAAAATCTTCAACTGAAGTGGATTCCATCGTTCAATGACACGAGTAGGAGTCGAACCTACTGACCCAGACCACGAAAGTCATTATGAT